GTAAATATTATTTCTATTCCCATCCTATTGGCCAGAACTTAGTCACATGACCACATGTAGCTGCACAGAGGCTAGAAAATGTAGACTTCAGATGTGCAGTTAAAAACATGAACAGTTAGCCGAGCGTGGTGGCCTGTAATCCCAGCACTCAGAGGCTGAGGCAGGAGGATCACTGTGAGTTTAAGACCAGCCTGGGCTACATAGTGAGTTCTAAGTCAGTCTCAAACTATATAGTGAAACCCTGTCTCAAAACAAACAAACAAACAAACAAAAAAGTATATATACATATATGAACAGTTAGCTAGGTATGGTTAAAGGCACCTGTAATCCCAGATCCCAGGTATTAGGCTGAGGCAGAAGAATTGTGAGTTTGAGCCCTGTCTGGACAATTTATGATTTAGTGAGACCCTGTCTTGGAAAAAAAAAAGGTGGGGGGAGGGAAGAAAATTGGAAAAAAAAAGAAGATAAGAGGGGAGAGAGTAAAATGAATTCTGGGGGTGTAGCTCAGTGGGAAGGCCCTGGACTCAATCCCAAGTACCAAAAAATAAAACACAAACCAAAAAACCCAGACCAGTTAGCTTAGCATAGTAGTGTGCATTTGCAACCCCAGTGACGTGTCAGGCTGAGGCAGGATGATTACAAGTTCAAGTCCCTTCTGGGCGACTTAGCAAGAACCTACTTCATATTAAAAAAACAAAAAAAGGGCTGAGGACGCGGCCCAGTGCGAAAGCTCTGGGTTCTATCCCTGAATACATGCTCAGTGAGAGAAGCCGGACACAGCACAAGATTCTGTCCCTGTGAAAGCCCAGAACAGCGAAATCCTGGGGACAGAAAGCAGCCCCGTGGCTGCGCAGGACGGCTGTGAGGGGAGGTGGTGGGAGGAGACGGCTAAAGGCAACGCATTTCTTACTGAGCTGGGAACATGTTCTCCAACTAGCAGTGTGGATGGCTTCCCACATCTGTGAGTACGTGTGGTGTGGGAACTATATCTCCATAACCCTGGAAAGGGGCCCAGCTGAAGATAAACTTCAAGAGGACGGGACCCTGTGGGTCCTCGCAGTCCTGGTTCGCGGCTGGTGCCTGGGGTCCATTTTGAAGCAGGTGAGTCAGCAAACGCCTGGACTCTCCTTTCCCGCCCCTCACAGCCAGTTCCCTCCCAGTTCCTGGCTCAGCCCCAGTTCCCTCCCAGTTCCTGGCATCTGGCCTCAGACTTCCGGCTGCTTCTCCCCATCCCACTGCCCTACCCCAGTCCCTACAACCACCTCACCACCTCAGGGCCCCATCCCTGTCCTCCTTGATCCCCTCACAGAGGCCTCGGCAGCCATCCCAAGTCACAGTGGGTCTGTGGCGGCATGTGGACACACCTCTGTGACTTCCCTTCGCTCTTAGGACAACACATCTGGCCTCAGACTTCCGGCTGCTTCTCCCCATCCCACTGCCCTACCCCAGTCCCTACAACCACCTCACCACCTCAGGGCCCCATCCCTGTCCTCCTTGATCCCCTCACAGAGGCCTCGGCAGCCATCCCAAGTCACAGTGGGTCTGTGGCGGCATGTGGACACACCTCTGTGACTTCCCTTCGCTCTTAGGACAACACGAAAGCCTAAAGCACCACTTCAAGTCCCCTTGAAGTCTGGGCCTCTCTGTCACTGTCACGCACTGCTTCCTCCCTGGGCAGCATCCCCTCTTGGGGCCTCACACAAGCCCTGTTCTCTGACACCTCAAGGCCTTTGAATGGCTACTCCCTCTGCCAGGGACCTCCTCAGGGGCCTCACCAGAGGGTCAGGAGGCCCTAGGGTGCCTCTATGTTGCTCCCAAACTTCGGTCAAGGCACTCGTCATACAAGCCTGTGACCCTCTCTGCTCAGTTCGACTCAGTGCCTCTTTCTGGAGTGTTGCACCTGGCCTGCGGGTTCACCCACTGACTCCTTCATCTCCACCTAGGATGAACATCTTTGTCACGGCCCAGGGGACCAGGACTGTGACGGGCAGGACCTGCTGCGGCATGCGGGTCAGAGTATAAGCCTGTCAATTCCAGTTCTGTGTGTAGAAGGAGAGGCTCTGCCCGCCTTCCTGTGTTGGCAACAAATATTCCTTCTTAGTGCAATGTTCAAATCCAGGCAGAGTGGCCCGTGCCTGTAATCCCAGCGCTCTGGGAGGCCAAGGCAGGAAGATTGCAAATTCAAGCCCAGCACGGGCAACTTAGTGACTCAGCAAGACACTGTCTCAAAGTCAAAAATTAAAAAAGGTCTGAGGATGTAGCTGTTCAGTGTGAAAGTCTTGGGTTCAATCCTCAATACTGCAGAAAACAATTTTTAAAATGCAATCTTTATGTCAAGTGCTATTTCGGATGGGGTGAAAGAGAATAGGTCTGCTGTCTCTTCCTCCACCATCTCTCTCAGTCTCTCCTCTCCTCTCGCCTTGAGAAGTATTGTCCAGGTTGAGAAGAGATAGGGGAGCAGCAGGATCCAGTTCATACAGTTATGAAATGAACTACTCCAAAACCCAGGGGCTGAAAATGGCCTCTGATGACAGCTGTTAACCTCCTCACAAGGCCCGGGCCTCCTCTCAACATGGTGGCTACTGTCTAAGGCTGTGTGCAGAAAGGGGAAGCTGTACTGCTGCTTCCAACATGGGCTGCACAGACACCCAGCCACACCACACCTTACTCAGTCCATCTGTCATCACAAAACCCCAGCTGGTTCTAGTGGGGCGAGGAAACAGACATTTCTCGAAAGGAATATTCTGGAAGAAAACAGGGCTATGGCCATTTTGGGAAAATACAGCCTACCTGTGGAGTGGAGAGGAGGTTTTTTTTAATCTTTTAGGTTTTAATACGTCTTTCTATGCATTCAACCTCTCTGGGACCCCCTAAGGGCTCCCTAAGAGTTTGGGGTTTAGAACACAAAGGCAGGACATTTCCACCATCTGTTTGGTTTCTGCTGTCCCTTGAGAAGGTCAACCTCTCACAAGTGTCTCTCACCCAAATGATCAGAAATGCCTGGCCCAGGAGTGGGGAAGCCAGAGTGGAAGAGGAAGAAGAAATCCACCACAGGATGAGTAAGAGTCAAAAAGATGGGAGCTAGGCATGGTGGCACACACTTGTAATCCAAGCTACCCAGGAGGCTGAGGCAGGAAGATCTTGAGTTTGAGACCAGCCTAGGCTATTCAGCAAGACTCTATCTTGCAATAAAATGTCCAAGTATATCTCAGTGGCAGAACAGTGTCCTAGCATGCTCAAAAGCCTGAGTTCAATCCCCAAAATTCCAAAATTAAATGACTAAAAATGAAAGCATGGGGAATATGTGCCCGCATGTCAAGACGGAGCAGCTCCTTCGAGGCCTCTGCAGGAAGGCAGTGCAAAGTGGGGCTGACAGAGGGGACAGGGGGGCAGGAGGGCCAGCTGGGCTTGGAGAGGAGTCCGGTCTCAGTCTTTGAAGGGTTGGCAGCCAGAGAATGAGATGAGATGAGATTACATTTAGTATGGTGAAACGGGCTTGAGGAATATTTGGGAGACAGCACTGGGAGTCTCGGTGACAAACTGGGTACAGAGGACAAAAGGGGCAGCTGCTCACGGCTCTCAGGTACCTCCTCCTTCTGTTCTGGCTAAGCGGGGCCCTCCCAGCCACTGCCAGGAACCGTCACACCCCCCACACATGCCTGGTGAAGCCAGCAGCCCAGGGACGCAGCAGGGCTCCTGAGACAGGACGGGCTGGAGTAGCAGGAAGAGAAGCCACAGGAAGCCATCCCAGCCTTCGCTCCTCCCTGCTCATGACATCGGCGGGCAGCAGGTGGCCTGCTCCACCTCCAACAGGAATCGCTGCTCAAGGGAACTCAGGCAGGTTGGAGAGGTGCAGAGATGGCTCTGCTCTGGGCCAAACTGGAGGCTTCCTGTGCCTTTGTTCTGGGCACCATTTCCCCAGGGCCACATGATGAAGACATCCTATCTGCCTAGAGCAGCCACTTGACTCAAAAGAATTCCAGGGAGGTAAAGTCAATAAAACATTTTGAAATGAGTTGAAGCGAATTTTCAGTAAACCAAGATTTGAGGCCCCACTGGGATTTGGGGTTGACTAGGTTAAGCCAAGGCCTGCGGGAAGTAACACGGTCTGGCCTCCACGAGAGTTAAACTTGATTCTGAACTTGACTGCATCTAAAGAGCCCTGGATGAGTGACTGGACTGTGATCCTTACCCCTGGGTTAACCCATTGGGGAGTTCACTAGTGAGCGAGTGATTAGGAGGAGGGGCCCACCTGGAGGAAGTGGGTCGTGGGGCTGTGACCTTGGGGACTACACGGTCCCTTCCCCTCTTCTCTAATCCTTTCCCTGCTCTGTGCTTCCTGGCTGCCATGAGGTGAGCCACTTTCCTCCTCCACGCTCTTCCACCATGAGGTTTCTGCCTTGGAGCCAGTTGACCATGGACTGAACCCTGTGAAACCACGAACCGCAGTGAATCTCTCCTCCTTTAAGTTACAAGTGTCGGGTATTTTGTCCCAGCAATGGGTAAGCTGACCAATACAGGCCCCTTTGGGTGCCACTTCGGTGGAAAGGCTGGAAAAAGCTCCCTGAGTTCTTCACCTCCTACCCTAGACCATAGGATGCCTCTGCACACAGGAGCTGCTGCCTGTGGAAGGAGATGCCAACCATGCAAGAGTCACCTAGGTGAGCTGTCCTTGGGGCACTGGCCCCAGGAGATGGCTACTGGCTGACGGCGATCTCTCTGGAAACTGGCCTGTGTCCCCCAGCAAGTCCTTCCTGGTATCTCTCTTTGGTTGTAGCACAGGCCATTCTGCTCTGCTCCCACTAGCCATCCCCGCTGTACTTTGGTCAATGGGACAGGGGATGAGGGAGACAGCCAGACCTTGACCAGACCCATCTGTTTTGGCTCTGGTTTTGCCAGCTCTGCCCAAGTCTGCTACCTTTGCCCCTTGGTCAAGGAGCACTAGGGAGGCTCGGGGTTATTATAGAGAAACAGGGACGGGGGTCTGGGGTGGAGGGAGCAGGGGGCAAGGGCGGCAGCCCATTGTGGTCTGGCTGAGGAAATGTGGCTGGAAGGAGAGGGGTGGGGGAAACGAGAAACTTCAGGGACCGTCATGGCTCCCGGTGTGAAGACAGAGCTGGCAAGCAGACCGGGCCCTGGGCTCGGCCCCAGGCAGCAAGTCAACTGCCTCTGCAGAGGTGCTAGTGTCCGTTGGCTACAGTGGGCTTGGGACAGCAGAGGAGAGCCAAACAGACTCCTCCAGGAGCCCGCATCTGAGGGGGTCAGGGAGCTGAACCTGGGGAGCCTCCAGCGGAGGGCGGGGATCCCCTCCACCCTGCAAGGCTATTGCCTCACGCTCCCCAGGTACATCTGAGGTTTCTCTGGGCTCCTGGAAACAGAGCTGGGGAATCCCAGAAGCACTTTGAATCACCTCCTTTAGTGTCCTGTGCCTGGTGCCTCAGCCCTAGGAAAATCTTAGCTGGGGAGTAGCCACAATGAAAACTGAAAGGGAGAGCGACAGGGCGTGGCGTCTGCTGACACAGCCCGGCTGCCGGCTCAGTCCGGGAGGGAGCAGCTCGTCCATCACCAGAGGTAAGGGGAGGGGAGGGGCAGGGGTGCCGCACACAGCAGTGAGAGTTCAGAAGGACAGGGCAGGGCTGGTTGCATCCAGGCCTCCAGGCACCACCGAATCTGATTTGGCTGGAGCAGGTCCCCACCTGGACACCTCCCTTCCCTCAGCCTGGCTGTCATGAGCCCTCGGTCAGAGCCCACCAGGCCCTGGCTGCTGCCACTGACTCCTTGGGACACTTTTCTGTCTTTTGCTCTCAGCTGGACCATGGAGTCCGTGGGAGAGTGGAGCCGGCCCTCACCAAATCAAAGGGAGGCAGGAAGCGGGGAGCAGGGAAGGAGGAAGGAGTAGGGCTAGAACCAAACCTTCCCATTTTCTGCACAGAAGGCAGAGGGTGGGACTTTGAAGGGCTGGGGACATTCTACCGCTTCCTTTCCCTGGGAGTGTGAGAGGGGGTGTCTCTGCACACTCGGGAGCCCCCCAAGCCCCCTGGAAACCGGGCCCCACGGCCATCCAGGTACAGAGCCCAGCTCCCGGCGGGGTGCACGTTGCCTTCCCCGCTGACCTCTATGCTGGTCCCTGGCCCTGGGGCTCCGGGCCAGGCTGAAGCTCAGAGAGCCACGCTGTGCTGTACCTCTGCGGCAGGCGGGACGGGCAGGGTGGCTGTGCTGACCAACTCCACCCTGGGCACGGATTATGGCCAAGGAGCCTGGCCAGCGCTGGCAGCTTCTGCAGCCCAGAGAAAGCCACACTCTGCAAACACTGAGCCACTTGGCTGCCCATCCCGGGTTTGGGTGAGCATCCAGGGCACTGAGCTCCGCCCGCCGTGGGAACGGGGTGTGTGGGCCCTTCTCCTACCACAACAGCTCCGGGTTCCCTCCATCCTGGGGTCCCCGTGGGGGTGCCCCCGGGAGGTCTTGCTCGGCCTTTCCTTCTGCCCCCACCTACGGCGACACTGTTGGGACGTGAGACTCATTATCCAGGTCACTCTCCTTGGTGCTTTGCTGATATTTTGTCACTTAACCTCTCTGTAACCCAGGGTCATGCTGCAACTACTGTTCCCGCTCTACAGGATGAACACGCTGGGGCCCCAAGAAGGGTGGCTCGCCCAGGGGCCACAGTCAGCACTGCAGGAGCCAGGACAGCCCCTCTCCACCTCCTCAGTGTCACTGCACTACCCAAGACCTAGCTGCTGCCACACCTACAGCTTCCCAGTTCCTCCCAAGAAGGGATCCCGAACACTGGGCACAGGACACAGACCCTCTGGATAAGCGACATGGCGGTGGCAGGGGCTGGGTGACAGGACCTTTGGCTCGGCCTGAACAGAAGTGTGGCCTGACCTGGCTCACCTGGCAGGTAGGGAGAGGGCGGGGACCAGCACCAGGCGACAAGGAAGCACTTGCTTGGTGTGAGCCCTGGGCCAGGCACTTGCAAGATGGACATTCAGCCCAGGGCAGAGCCAGCCAGCTGTGTGAACAGCTGTTTTAGGGCTGGTGCCCTGTGGGGACAGCCTCTACTTCATGTGACCAAGGCTTTGTCCTTCCCACCCACCGCTACCCTAAAGACCAAAAGGGAGACATAAATAACCCCTAGAGCATCCAAGAGGGCAGAAAGGGCTAACTTGCAAGGGAAGACAGAGTTCAGGGGCCGCCTGTCCCATAGAAAAAGATATTTCTGTTTTGCTTTGTTTTGGTACCGGGGATCGAAATCGGACCCTCGCGCTTGAGAGACAGGCACCAGAACCACTGAGCTAAATCCCCAGCCCTTGCCTGTCCTGTAAGATGCGTTGATGTCCTTCACGTTCCTAGAACAGCCTGTAGGGCCACGCTTCACTCCAGGCCCCGGGCACCCAGACAGAAAATGAGGGGTCACAGCCCTGGGTGTAATATGAGAGGTAGAGAGGAGCCAAAGGAGTCAGCGCTGGAGTCAGAGGCTGCCAGCCGCCAGGAGAGAAGCATTAACCTGGGAGGGTTCAGAGGGGTGAATCTCCAACCAGGCTTGGGAGGCAAATAGGAACGATGGCCTCTTTCCCCGGGGAACCACGGGAACAGAGTGAAACTCAGATGAGATAGTGAAGGGACCAGTATATTATACCCTGAGGGAGGGAAAAAAGGAATTCTATTGTCACAGTGAGAAAAGTGAGGTCCAGAGAGGAGATGTGACTCGTCCAACAGCAATCAATGAGGGTGAAAGTGAACACAGGACTCAAACTGGCCCTGATTCCAGCTCGAGGTTCTGGCTCCACTACACTGAATTCCTGGTGCGTTTGGTCAGCTTTCTGTTACTGTAACAAAATACCAGAGATTAACAATTGAAAGTGAAGAAAGGTTTATTTGACTCACGGTTTTGGAGGTTTCCGTCCACAGCCACCCGGCCCTGCTTCTTTTGGGCCTGTGGCAAGGCAGGACATTATGGCTGGAGCGTAATCATGGCGGAGAAGCCGTTCATCTCACAGTGGCTGGGAAACAGAGAAAGAAAGCAAGGCGCTGGGGTCCTGGTATCCCCTTCAAGGGCCCAACCTTCAGCCCACTAGGCCTCTCCTCTTAAAGCTTCACCACTTTCCGATAGCACCACGGGCTAGGGACCAAGTCTGGAACACATGGGCCTTTGAGGTACCTTCAAGACCCAAGCATAGCACCAGAGAGTGCATTTCATAGTTAGGACTGCCTTTCTCTTTATGATGCTAATACAGGTTGGGGGTCCTTTACACTGTAGTATAAACTAGTGATCTACATGCCTGGCATAGACAGCAATAAAAAGGATTTAAGGGGAATATAAAAGTGAAGAGGCCAGGATGAGAAGGGACAATTGGGGAACATATACATTTTGGGCCCAGAAGGGGCCTCAAAGAACCTAGGCAAGGGCGTGGGGGTGAGAAAGAGTGTCTAAAGTCAGAAAGAGTGCCAAATACAAACCTAGCAGAGTATCTGAAGGCTGGGTCCAGACCCTCCTCCCCAGGGTGAGGGGTAGGGCCTGGAGTTAAGACTGCAGAGACCTACAGACCCCGCTGGTCCCCCAGGACCACCAGAGCTGCCCTGGGAGCACGGGGCCTAGCTCATTTCCCCTTCCTTGTGCAGAAGAGGAGAGGAAAAGAAACAAGAACCAGAGACAGTCACTGCGCTCCCAGGGCCACCCTGTCCCTCCTGGAAAGGCCGGCAGAAGCCTGGCTGCTGCCAGGGGATTTGTTTAGTAGAAACCGAGGTTGGCAGGAAGCATCTCGTCCCTCACCTGGAAGCTTAAGTCTAGAACCTCATTCGCAGTCTAAGGAACTCTGAACACTGTACAGTTTTGTATTTTATTTCCCTTCCATGATCTCTGCTGACTTCACCCACTCCGCCCTCCCTCCACCTGCCATGGAAACGAATTTAGAGGAAACAAACAAAGCACATGGAAGGACATTTCCAGCACACGTCATTCCACTCCCTATGTGAGCCGGCGGCGGTGGTGGCCGACACATCTGCGTGCTTCCGTCCTAGGTTGCGTCCAGGGCCTCCATGGACCCAGGATGCCTGGTGCACGCACAGAGCCCTCCTGAGGTTCCCTGCTCCTCTGGCAGGGACCCTTCCTTCCTAACCCCTCTGGCAGCTGCAGAAAGTGAGGTCTGTGCGTCTGCCTGGTGGATCCAGGTGCCAGGTCATTTGCATGTATTGATCCTTCAGGCTGATTTACAGGACTTGCCCTAGACGCTAACCAAACCCCAATTCCATAAGGACTGCTGGTCTACCTCCACCACTCTCACTGAACCCTTCCAGCCCTGGCCCCGGCTGGGAACTTGGGTGTTCTCTATGCGCCCTGGCCTTCCAGCCCGGTCCGTCTCCCAGGACCTCAGCCAGCTTCCTCCTCTCGTGTGCTGGAGCTGGAGCTGAGGTCCTGAGGGTGAGCGGTCTGTAGGACCTGGTCTATGTGGGCAGCTCAGTCTCCTGCCACCAAGCCTGCCTGGTGACACTTGTGCCCGCAGACACCATGGTCCAGCAACTTCCCCTGTGGAGACTGAGGAGGACGATAGGAAGTTGCTGCCCATTGCTCAGTGTTTCACACAGCATGCGGTCTTCACTCAGACTGATCTCCACAGACCCAGCCAGGACACTCCCAGGTCCCACTTTACAGATAAGGAAACTGAGGCTCTGGCATGTAGGCTGATTTGCCTAAGGACACCTGGCAGAACAGGCCAAAGCCATGGACTTCTAGGTCCTCTCTACCACCCCCCAATATGCCCAGTGAAAAACAGGTTTGCATATCAGTAGTGGTAGGAACCATGGCCCAGCCCAAGACAGCCTGTGTCCCTGCACTGTTCTGACATCATCTCCACTAAGAGCAAAACATCTGGTCCTTGAATTACCCTAAGCAGCCCTGTCACAGCCGAGAGCACATGTTCCATGAGGCCATTTAGACCTGGAAAGGGCCCTTTCACCACCAGGAATAGCCCAGTGCCTCCTTCATGGGTTTGGGAACACCCAGCAAAGTCACAGGGATCTGTGCCCCTTGCAGGTGTGTACTGGGGATTTCTCCAGCATCTAGAACATATTCAGAACTGAGCATCAAATAAAGGTCAGACTCAGGTGCAAGTGCAAGGGCTGTGCGTGGGTTTCTCCATGATGCGCATGCTCCTGTCCCCTCCCTGCCTCCGGTCCCGGTGCCCGGGATGAGATGAGCAGGGGATGTTTTCCGGGGCAGAGAGTGAGGCCCGAGAAAGCAGGTGGGTTTTAGGCAGGACGGGCAGACGGCATGAGACGTGAGTAGATCCTAGTTCTCTGCCAGCCCATCAAAGACTGCCCAGGGGAGGAGCCCTGGGCTGGGCACGGCCAGGGGCAGAGATCCCTCTATGCCCTACCATGGCTCGGCCACCAGAGGAGCAGTAGGAGGTCCGCAAGGCTCATTCTTGGGTCTCTCATGCTCTTCCCTTCAACAGGTGTTACTGAGCATCCCCAAGGACCTCGGGAGGTGACCGGAAAGGATCAGGCCCAGGCCCTGCACCTGGTGCTTCCGGCCCCTCAGTCTCCCTCTGCCTGTATCTCAGTGTCTGCACCAGGCCAGGTCAACTTGCCTGGGTGGAGTAGACCCATGGGGCACACGCCCTGGGCTCTCAGAGGGCTGGGAAGAATCTGCAAGACACTGCAGCTATGGATGGAGGATGAGAAACGAGGGAGAGAGGGGCTGTGGCCTCAGGCATACAAAAGGGAAACTGAGTCAGCACGGCCAGGCATGGGGCCTTTGCACGCAGCAGTGTGTAGGAAGCAGATGACTGAGGATTCATGCAATCCTAAGCTGGGAAGGTGGGCGTCAGGCCAGCAGGGAAAATTTCTGCTTCCTTGAAGACTAGGGAGTGTGGACAAGGGATTTGGACTGGAAGGACGAGGCTGGCAAGGAGAAGCCAGGGTTCTGAGAACCCATGGGTACGGGGCAAGGCCACACCTCCCTGTGGTCAGTTATCCCTGGCCAGGAGCAAACTGCGTTTGAACACTAGGAAGCGGCAGTGACATCTGCATGGCTTTTCCCGTAATGTCCCCAGGGCTCCTCCTCCTCCACTGAGTCCCCTGCCCAGGATCTTAGAGTCCCACTTTTTAGAAATGTAGTATCAGCCCACACATAAAGGTGCAGGCCTGTAATCCCAGCTACTTGGGAGGCTGAGGCAGGAGGATTGAAAATTCAAGCCCAGCCTGGACGACAACATAAGAATCTGTCTCCAAATCAAAAATGCCAGATGTGTAGCTCAGTGGTTGAATGCTCCTAAGTTCAATCCCCAGTGCTGCAAAAATGAATAAATGAATAAATCAGTCAATAAATAGTATATTATCATCCAGGCGTGGAGGCACATGGCCGTAATTCCAGCATTCAGGAGGCTGAGGCAGGGGGATCATCATGAGTTTGAGGTCAGCCTGGGCCACTTAGTGAGTTTGAGGTCAGGCAGGAATGCATAGTGACAACCTGTCTCAAAAAAACAAAAACAGTATTATCAATGAAAGGGAGCAGTCCTCAGGAGACAGCTCACGGGGGTCACTGGGCACCCAGGGCAGCATTCTGATGGGAACAGGGGGCTCCGGGAGGGGTTGGGGCCTCTAAGTCTCCCCCATCGCCTGGCTGACCTCCTTCCCATAGGCGCAAAGCACCATCCAAGCGAGCTGGTTTCCCACTCATAACTCCTAACCCAAGCCTCTCCTTCCTTCCAGCAGAGGCAGGGAGGAGGGCAGCGTGCAAAACGGTGGCCTGGTAGCAGCGCGTTGGGCTCGCATGCCTCACTCCCGGCAGCTTGGGAAGCTGAGGCAGGAAGATCACTCGAAGTCACAAGTTTGAAATCAACCCAGGCAACATAGTGAGGCTTGTGTTAAAAACAAAAACAGACAGCTTGGGCTGGGGATTTAGCTCAGTGGTTCTACCATGTGCCTCACAAGCACAAGGTCCCAAGTTCAATATCCAGTACAAAAAAAAGTCATTTTAAAAAAACAAATAACACAGAAAACATCCAGGCATGGTGCTGCACACCTCTAGTCCTAGCACTTGGGAGGCTGAGGCAAGAGAATCACCATGAGTTCGATACCAGCTTAGGCTACATAATGAGTTCAAGGCCAGCCTGAACTACGCAGCCTGAACAGTATCTCATAACACAAAACAAAACAAAAATAAACAAAAAAACAAAAACAAATAACATAGAAAATATTTGTGACTAAAATCATAAAGGTACAGCTACTTTCAGCCAGGCCTGGTGGGGCACACCTGTAATCCCAGCATTTGGGAGGCTGAGGCAGGAGGATCACTGTGAGTCAAGACCAGACAGGGCTACATAGTCAGTTCCAGGTCAGTCTCAACTACATAGTGAGACCCTGTCTCAAAAAACCAAAAAAAAAGAAGAAGAAGAA